CGGGGCCCTGCGGCCGCCGTGGCTGACCCTGTGCCTGGGCCCCCTGGTGCCGCCGCCAGCCCGGGCCCTTCCCTGCCCTCGGGCACCGCCAGCCCTAGTGAGGGCGGCTCCGTGGGGCCTTCTCGGCCCGGCTCCCCTGGCCCACCCGGCCCCCTGGACGCAGTGCCCCGCTGACCCCGGCTGTGTGCTGGCTGTTGGGCAGAGAGCCACGGTCACTGCTGCTACTGCATCTCTCCAAAACAAGGCAACCAACGGGCCTGCCCGACGCCGCATCCTCGGCTGCCTAACGGCCGCACGCCACAACACCTCCTCGGCCTCTCCTCTGTGCCCAAGCTGCGGAGTGGCGCACTGGAGCTGGCTCTGTCCGCCCCATCTCTCCTGCCCTACTTTTCTAGCTCTGACTTCCACACACTTGGTCTTTAACAGACGTTTTCTGCAAGTTGTTTTGTTGGCAAAAGAAGCCACTCAGAAACGGACAAAGAAAAACGGCTCTCCCCTTCCTGATTACAGAGGCAAGTGGGAAACTCCTAGCCGGAGGTCTGAGCCGCGTGGCCCTGGCCGCTCCCGGGTGTCAGGAGAAACCACAGATGGGAGAGAAGACTTCAATGCCGACTCAAGAAGCATTTTTGGTTTCAGACTTATTCTCCTTTATCACCAGACTCTGACTCTAAGTAAAAATCCAGAAAGTTCTAGAAAAGCACAGGACGCACACCTGTGAGCTGCCTTGCAGCCAGCCAGCCGGGGCACTGGGCATGCCCCCCTCCAAAGGAAATCCAGACCCAGACACCTCGCCTCTGCCAAAGCGCTCAGCCCACTCCCTGGGCTGTCACTGTCGGTCTCTCCTCCCGGTCGCATTCATGTTTGTGGCCAGGACACAGGTTGGGAGGGCTTTTGCCCAGCTGGACCGACCTTGTCTCCTCCTGGCCAGCCGGCACTGCCACTGCTGGGTCAGGCCGTGAGTGCGGGACCGTGCCTGTGGGGTGTGCACCTGCTGGGGTCCCACGGCTGTGCACTTCACGTGGGGACGTCCCTGCCTGTCCTCACCTCTGCGACTTTCATGTCACGTTCCTCCATTGCGTCCTACCCAGAGTGTGAGCCATCCTCTGGCTGGGCACTGGCCTTGTAGCAGGAGGGGCGCCCTGCCCTGCTCTACCTCTCCCCTGCCCACCTCCACCCACGTCTCGCCTCTCCTTCCCGCCAGACTTCAGGACGAAACCCTGTAGACCAGAACCGCCTGCCCGCTCCCCTGTGAAGACGGAACCTGGTGTAAATGGCCCCTCGTCCCGGCCAGCGCTCCAGCAGGCCCTGGGCGTGGCAGGGGGACAGCTCTTGGCCCTGCCCTCCCACCTCCCTCTGCGACTTGGAGGAGAGATGGAGTCAGGGAGCTCACGTTGCACCAAGGGGACAGATGGCGGCCCTGTGTCGGAGCTCAGGACACAAGCGGACTTCGGAGCCACGCCCTGCCGCGGCCGGGGTAGACAGCTGCGGCGGTGTGAATGTGCGGTCCTCGGCGGTCTGGTGCGGTGCCCAGTGACTGCGTTTGCCGAATAAAGGCTCGGCCGCAGCAGGACGTGGTGCTTAGCAAGTGGGTCTCCAGAGGGACCTGCACGGTCCTGGGGGCCATGGTCTGCTCACTTTCCTCTCCACAGGAG